CCATGGTGAAAACTTAAGCCGTTCGCAACCAGGTGCTTTCCAGATGGTGTTTTACGGTGGATCAAAAGAGGTACTGACATCAGTGACATCAATCTGGACAAGAGCCCAAACACCAGTGGCTGAAATGCAGCCCCAAACCATGACGGAGCCTTCACCGTGTGTTACAGATTGCTGTAGAAACTCACTGTTTTACGTCTATCTTGACCTGCTGCCCACAGATGTGCTCAGAAGTTTACATATGGGCATAGCTGTCAGTCCACTTCTTATATAATTCGGGATACCTTACCCTTTTCTCCCTCTTTCCCTTCATTATGAATGGCTTCTTGACAGCCACCCTTCACAGAGACCATTTCTGATGAGGCTTCAGTGAAGAGTAGATGGTTTAACTGAAGCACCAGATGTATTCTTGAAATCTTGTCTCAAGTCTTTCAGGGATTTTTACCTATTGTTTAAGGACAGAAGAAGAGGCTTGGTTCAAAACTTTTACACAGCACCACTGATATAATAGGAAAGGACAGAGAGAAATAAAACGTCTTCACACCATCATTATGCACAATATGAAGTATGTTTTTGTCTCATCGGTTCGTCATTCTGTAAATTCCTGACAAGGAAGAAAACGTGTTGAACAAAAGGTTGTGATAAGCGGTGGAAATTAGTCAATGATTTCATGTTGCTTGAAATGTTATTGTTTTACAACATGTCACACCATTCTTTTTCCTGGTTGGTAAAATCATTCACTGCTCTGGTATTCATTGACTTCAGAAGGATGGAATGTGACAATCATTGTGTGGCACAATTTCAAAGCAAAGACATTTTACGATGACACAGAGAGGAGTTCCTTGAAAGGTGGGTTGTACACTATATAAACCTGTGCAGCAGAAGCATTGGACAGCATCCAGGATCCAGACTTGGAGAGACACCAACTGAAGACTGAACAGTGTACAGGTATGATGCTATTAACACATTTACTCCAGCAGTTATGGTTAATAATAACAGCTGTACAGCTTCCCTGTGGTACATTCTCCACATTTCACCAAGTTATACATTTCTTATTTTACTTGTTTTTACTGTGGTTTTGCCACTCCAGAAAAATAAGTCAGTTTTGCATCTCTGTAGGGTGTTTTCTTAATCTGCTTTAGTCCACAGAACAAACATTGTTTATATGGTTTATTTTCACCCATCGTGGCAAGTGGGCAGGACTTTTTTATTTTTATGTCGCTGAAAACACGAAGGAAAACAGGAACTGTTTTGCCTTACCAACTTTTCTATATCTTCTCTACCCCTTAAATGCCACCTCAACAAACAGCTTCTACATTATAAATTCTGAAAAAGCCTTAGCCATCGTCTGTGAGACAAGTCCGGCAGAGATGACTGCATCCACAGAGAAACTGCGAGAGAGCTACAACCAGCAGGGCTTCCTCTCTGCACTTCCTGTGCTGAATGAGACAGAGCTGAGGGAAGCAAGAGATGCCTTTTCTAAGTTGGAGATGGAATTTGGTGAGTAGCACACAGCGATGAAGAGAGATGGGTAACAAGACAATGCTAGTGCAGAAAAGACTGTTGCTATTTTTGCTATGTTGAGCAAAAGTAGCAACAGATCATTAATGAGTTGAATTTATCTTCTAAAAGTACGAATATGCATAAAAGTAATTAAACCTAGTAGATTAAATGTTGCCCTGTTTTTTCTAAGGAAAGCTGTGTTATGTTTATACATATATCCAGGTACCGAGTACACGCAGTACAGCCTTCACAATGCTCACCTTCAGTATCCATGGGTGATGAACCTGACCAAGCACCCTCACATCCTGCAAGTGATCACAGCCGTCTTGGGCCCAGATGTGATCCTACTGGATTCCCGCTTCATCTGCAAATACCCAGCATTGGTCAAACCAGCCAAGGAGGAAAAGATTGCCCAAAGCAATGGGCCTGCTGAAAAAGATGAACTTCCATACGTGGCCTGGCATCAGGACATGAGGTAAATTTTACTCAACAGACAAAGAAGCAAACACGTATTTGTTTTGCTTTCCTATGCCTAACTCTAATTGTTTGTTCAGGTACTGGGGTATCACTGGCGGCCCTGTTCTTTCTGTGTGGCTTGCTTTGGATGACTCACTAAAAGAAAACGGTGCCCTGCGGGTTATCCCAGGTATTTCATCTGCTTTAGTGTTTTGTTTTTCTTTTATACAACTTGCTATAAAATGTGCTTTCTAAAATCAGCAGTCTTACTCACAGTGTTGAGCTTTGCCTCCTGTAGGCAGCCACTGCTCAGGCATGTTGCCCCATCGCCAAGCCCTCCGCCCTGGGAACATGCTGTCAGTGAACCAGGAGATCCCAGAGGAGCTGGTGCAGGTGGAGGAAGCTGTGTTATGCCCTCTGTTAGCTGGACAGATGTCTGTGAGTTTGGTTTTATTCTTAACTTAAAAGGTTGTTAATGAGGATAAAGACATTGTATATTGCATGTTGAATGAATGACTTTTTGTTTCTTTAACATATAGATTCACGATGGACTCCTTGTGCATGCAAGTGATGCCAACACATCACAAAAGAGACGCTGTGGGTTTGTGATCCGTTACGTTCCCACCTGTGCTTACCCCACAGAGGTAAGGCCGACGTTTTTCCCTGTTTTGAAAGAATCAGAGCTTCATCTTGTATTTTTCTGTTTTACTGTTTTACTTACTTATTTTACTTCTGTTTCTTAGGATCCTGATCGTCCAAGGAAGTTTCATGCAACAAAGTTGATCAGCGGGACAGACGCATTCAATCATTTCTCCAACAAAAGCACATGAATATAAGTATTCATGTGACTACAGTCCAATTTGCAAGACCAGGAGTTAATATATGTTACAGAAATATAATGTGTTGTTAAAGCAAATGTTTAAGTTTTTATAATCAAATCAAATTTCAGATTCTTGATAAATTTATCACATTTCTGTCATTTTTCGACATAATTTGCTGTGTTTAAATTCCTTTAAGACTATATCATGAATTAATTAAATAATTGAATGTGTAGAAACTGTTTTGTGCCATAAACTGGTTTGTAAAATTTGAAATAAATGACAAATTGCATACAAACAAAAGAGACTCACGGCGATTCTGCTTTCCAACTAAAATCTTTATATCATATTAATGACGAAAAATCTACAATATGCCAAAAGCCAATTCAGGATGTTTGCTTGGTGTAACAGATTTGTTATAAATTTAGACCGAGTTCAACAAACTTTTTTTTTTTTTACACAAAGCGCTGTTACATTCTTATTTAATGCACAAAGCAGAGTGAAGTCTACTTTGTGAAATTAAACTTATTAACTCTTAAATTTTTGCATTTTCCTGTTCAATTCTCATCATAAACAGAGATGCTCATTCAGCTGTTATCATAAACAGTACTGTGCAAAATGCTTGAGCCAACCCTTGGTTCTGTATATTTTCCTAGCAAAATGGCTAATAGGTAATACAAATGGAATTATATTTTATATTCTAACAAGCTTGAAACTAAATATTTGGTGTGATCACCTTTATTCTTCAAAACAGCCTGAACTCTTTTAGGCAGATTTCTTGTAATTTCTTTAAGTAGTTTTCAGGAATAGCTATCTAGATTTCTTGAAGGACACTCAAAGGTCTTCTTTGAATTTCGGCTGCCTTTTTGTTCCATTCTCTGTCATTATAATCCCACACTGCTTGTTGAGGACTGGACTCTGGGGAGGCCAATCCATGGCTGATGATTGTGTTGCATAGGGCTTTTCTGGGTACCCTTTTACAGCTGTGTATTTGGTATAATTTTCATACTGAAAAATTAATCAGTGTTTTGCAAGATCTCCAGCACTACTGGCTGAAATGCAGCCCAAACCATGACAGAGCCTCCACCGTGTTTTACAGATGGCTGTAGACACTCACTGTTGTACCTCTTTCATAACCTCCTCTGTACACATTAATGACAGCTTTATCCAAAACTTCCAATTTGGACTCATCACTGCACCTGTCGTGGTTGATGCTCAGTCCAGTTCTTGTGTAATCTGCAGAGGTGCAGTGTTGTTTGTGAGCAGGTACGGTATGTTTGAGTTTTAATTTGTTACAAACACTATTTCACTACAGTAGTTCACATTATTAACTACAGCTGTGCATAAAGTTGTCTATCTGACCACATTACACCTCAGTTCTCCCTGCATGAATCTTCCTTTTTTATTCTTTCCTGTGGGGTGGAACTCAGCTCTCTCTAAGTCTGATACCGTCTCTCTCTTCTTGGTGAATTCTGTTTTGTAGCGCTTTTCACAGAGTTAATGTCAGAGTTAGAGAAATATCTGACAACGCAGGTCCAGCGCAGGATTCATCCAGAATAGTTTTGTTACAAACCATACCGTGAAATCTGTGTAACAGTTGACCTGTAAACAGTATTTACCGTCAGCTCCTGACCCTTCCTTGTATTGAAGTTAGACTGTAATTGTGTTGACTGCGTAAATCCCCTCTATTCCCTGTTGAAGCTGTTTTACGAAGCTTCAGGCAGAGCTGGAAGAGTTGGCACCACCCGCGCAAGGATACCGATGGTTACACTACACCCTCTTGCAGTAAAGGGAGGGTATGTTGTGACACAATAAACCAGCAGATCGAGTTATTTCTCTGACTCATCTACACAACGTGATCACTACATATTTCAATTTTTTCCCTAATGTGGTCCAAATTTATATATATATATATATATATATATATAGAGAGAGAGAGAGAGAGAGAGAGAGAGAGAGAGAGAGAGAGAGAGAGTGCTAAAATGTATTTATTTGGAAGGAGACGAGGACATGTTTCCAAAAAAAGTGGGTAACGTGATGGGTGAATGGCTCGAAGCTGTGAGCGCAGTGCTAAAACCTTGACTCTGTCCTGTAACTCTTCACAGAGTGTTTAGAGCTGAGTCCCTTTCTCAGTATTGATACTGTTTTACTACTGCCGAGCACAACTGAACAAAACTAAACATTTGCAGTTTTTCGAGTTGCATGTCCGCTCGGAAATCGTTGTATAATTACAACGTGTTTGTGCGTCTTTTCTCGATTTTCGTGGTTTTTATTTCTATCAGAGCCACACACTAACACCATACTAACATTTCTAAAGCACATAAATGAATGTGACTTTGTTAGTGTGTCCGAGTTTAATAAGTACCTGCAACCTCGCCGAAAAAACGAACAATGCGCGCATTTACGCAGGTGGCACAGTAATCTTTATTAACACAGGGAGGGGTTGAGATCTGACAGCAAATAATAATTTGCTGCTTTTACAAAATGCAAGTCACTGTTAAACACAGATTTCAGGTATACAAGGTGAGATAATTTGTAATGAATGATAAATTTGGATAAATTCTGCACTAGCCCGCAGTCTCACAGTCCCGAGCAGTTTCTAACAGACGACACGTTGACTCTTCTCCATCCTCCTCTCGTTCATCTGTCTGATAGAATCACGGGCTTACACTGTATTATTTTAGTTACGACATCAATCCCATCCTTTCCCTCCCTCGCTCAGTGCTCGTTTCTGAGCCACTAATTTGTGCCGTTCTTGGTAGGTAACTCGAAATGAACTGACTGCATCCTCATTTATACATTGGGGCACTGTTAGAGCACCCAAAGAACTTTTCATTCCCATGAGCCCATTTTTGCCAACGCATCATCTCGCTAATTTGCCACACAGCTTTCAGTGACAGACAAGACCCTGTGTCTTTCTGGTAAACTCAGACAGCAGCTCATGTTCGGCGCAGACCGTTAGCTACTAAATGAGATCACCCTGAGAGATCACGATGACAGTGTAGACCGCTAACTTTGCCTTTATCAACATTCTTGCATGAAATATCCTCTTCTTAAAATGACAAGAACTGATGCTAATATTGTAAATATTGTAAGGAAGTGTTTAATTGTTTTCCTAAATGTTCCACACAAGTCGTTCTGAGATATTTTTGGAGATCTGTCAGAATATTTGACACTGCAGTGACAACAACAAACAGTTACCAGTTACAGGTAAAACCTCATTGCAGGTGAAGAGAGTGTGTTGAGAAGATCAGAGGAGTGCTTTGAGCAGCTCATGAATGAAGTAAATGATAGAGAGAGGAGGACAAGTGGAAGACAGTGAATCAGGAATGCAGAGGACTGATAATGAGGAATTAAAGCAGCTATGAAGAGGATAAAGAGTGGAAAGGTGGCTGGTCCAGATGATACCTGTGGAGATAATGGCATTTTAACTAGACTGTTTTATGCAATCTTAGAGAATGAGAAGTCTTTATAGATCTAGAGAAAGCATACAACAGGATATCAAGAGAGGAACTGTGGTTCTGCATGAGGAAGTCAGGGCAGTTTAAATAACCATGTTGACACATGAAGTTTCCCCGGCAACATGTCCAGGGTGCAAACTGTCTTTTGTCTCATATCTGCTCTCATGAGCTCCAGCTCCTGGAGATGCAAAGTATAATGAGAGATTAGGGAAATGGATTGAATGAACAATAAATGATAAAGGTCCAGTTAGTTTGCCAGACCCAGAAGCAAATAGACAAGTGTGTAAAGCAGTCTAACTCACTCTAGGAAAGATGGCAGGTGGCAGTCTCCACACCCGCCAGCATTCAACCCATTACACCCCATTTCAGTTCCCCAGTGTTTCCCAGCGACAACAGTTGAACCGGATATTTGACAGGCAGTGAGACAATGCTGTTAAAATGTTACTGGTGACAGAGGGCTCCTTTCTGTTATCTAAATTATCATTAAACAATGCAAGGATTTTGGTAGGTACACATATTTCTTACTCCATTTGTAGTTGTATGAAAAGGGTTGTATGGGGAACCTCGGGCAAACAAGCCTTTTGAAACAACACAGAAAAAGTGCGCGAATAATTCCAAGAAAATAAAAAAGGTTTAGCTGGTCACAAAAATAGTTACTAATCTGTTATTTTGCTTAAATTTTTTAAAAATAATCTTTTTTACATTTAAGGCTATTCATTCTCTCTCTCCACCATACCTCTCTGATTTAGTACTTCCCATCCCGGTGCCTCAGATCTTCATCTTCTCTTTCTCTCTCTGTTCCCCGCTCGTCTGATTACAATGGGGGGCAGGGCTTTTAGTTGCTCTGCCCCTCGACTTTGGAATTCCCTACCCGCTGACCACAGAAATATTAGTTCATTCCCTCTTTTTAAGTCCACCCTCAAAACTCATCTGTTTAAAATTGCTTATGTTTAAACCTCTGTATGCTCTTAACTTTTATCTGTTATTCCTATTATTGTGTATATTTCCAGTTTTCGTGTTTTTATTTGTTGTACAGTGTCCTTGGGTGCTTTGAAAGGCGCTATTCTTAAATAAAATGTATTATTATTATTATTATTATTATTATTATTATTAAGGGTACGGACAGACTTTTGTCTACAAATGCAAATCTCCAGTGTGTTCATCCAGTAAACTCCTTGGTGTAATAAACCAGCCAGTTTCTAACACGATAGGTTTGAACATTATGGATTATTGTATTATGTGTATGTCAGGACATTATTGAATGACGTATAGATAAGGAAAAACAACTGAATTGTGTTGTCTTTGTTAGATAATCTTTTATTGAAATTTTATTGCATTCAAAGTTTAGTAGGAAATAGGTAAGAGAGCTTGATAAGCTTGATAGAAAAAAGGAAAGAAAAAAGCACCTCATAGATAAATAATGTGATTAAACTCTTGTTAAGCCAGTTTCAGTGTTTCTTTAACCATGACACCTATTCCATCATAGACTTTGTGAATGGGAGCGTTGCACATGAAGGCAGAGGTGGTCACCAGCTTGTTTTTGGCATCAACATGAACTTCTTCCACATCTTTGTTCACGTGTTTGCAGCCCAAATCCTTCAGGACGCCTGCTGTCTGAGCATATGGCCACCT